GGTTTGGGGTCAATATGTGGGCCTTAATTGCTAGAGTATTATAGGCTTCCTTTAAAGATACCTGTTAAAAGGGCGCCAACACGGCTGGTATACTGGATTCAGACTTAGGGAGTTTAAGGACGAACAGAGGGGCCTGCAAGATTAGACTGGGATGTGGGAGTACAGTGTAGAACAACTGCATAAGGACTCATACTATTGGTAGCTATTCAGGCTTTCGGGTTTTGCTGGTTTAAGGCTCGAGAGCGGCTCCATAAAGGCTTCTGCAAGAGTTTATGGAGGTTTAGGGTTTAGTATAGGGTGTTGCAAAGGGACGCATACACAGAAGTGAACCCTAAACCCTAAGTCCTGAACCCTAAGCCCTAAATCCTAAGCCCTAAACCCTAAGCCCCAAACCCTAAGCCCCAAACCCTAAGCCCTAAACCCTGAGCCCTACATCCTAAGACCTGGCCCCCAAAAGTACCTAAACTCTAAGCCCGATCAACCCTAAGACCTGACCGCTAGAGCCCCTAAACCCTAGAGACCCCTGAGCCCTGACCCTTTAAATATAGGGGCCTGAATAGAATATACTATATAGTATATTCTAATTATAGGGGCCTGAATAATTCGAATATACTATAAAAAAATAATAAAGAGCCCCCAAAATAGTATAGGCAAGTATTCAGGCCCCTGTCTAAAACAGATCTTACAGAGAAGCGCCAAAGGGTTCCCGAGAGCTCGGAGCGCAAAGATAGTGGATCGGGTTGTAGGGCTTAAGGGATTTACTGTTCAGGGTTTAGGGGTTTGGGGGTGTAGGGTTTAGCAGGCCCCAAACTCAAACGCTTCGGGGTTTGGGGTTTTGGGGTAAAACTCAAGAAATTGAATACGGCAAGTATTGAGGTATGCTGAACTGAAATTTCCAGAACTTGAAGTTTGGGCAAATCAGTGAATCTTGCGAAGCATTAAGGGTCCGGCGCCCGGCACGGGAGGTGGCATGCTGACCGAGAGCACGGCGTCCTGCCAACTGCAATTGAAATTATGTCATTCCTTAAAGACGAAATGAACCCTGTAAGGGTTTTGAAGTTCATATACCAAATAAAGATTCATAGTACAAGGGCACAGGGCCCCTACTTTTAAGGGTCATTTGGTCCGCAAGGGTTCTGGCTATGTAATTGCTATCAAGGCTTCCAACTCTTTGGGTTCAACCCGAGAGGAGTAGAGCACAAAGCACTTCTGGTTCCCTGTTGGGGCCATATTAAAAGTGATCATTTTTCATCCTTACTGGGTTTTATTATAACAAAAATGTGAAATTGTATCGAACAAGGACCCAGACTTGTGTCCGTGTCGGTGAGGCCCTCGCTGCAGAGGCTGTCTGGCACCACGACCTGGTGAGACACCGCTCGTGACATTGTTGGAGCTGCTAATATGTGGCCCTTAATGAATAGGCTTCTGGGGCGCTGTATATGGTACATACCTGTTTAAGGACTATAAAAGGTGTACGCCTACTAGCTGACTCGTAGAGTCTGTTAGCGAACACGCGTAGATGATTTTCCTTGTTGCCATCATTAGTAGGGTCCGTCGGCCTTGACTTTCTTTTGGTGCTGAGTATTTAGGGCCTGCTAAGTCTGGCAGTATTCTTTTGAAGATGTGTTTTCCAACCTGTATTTTTTGCCAGGATTGCCATTACCCAAAAGCTTGGGTCCCTATGAAGGGAATTTACAAACGATAACGGTTCATATGTAGCTATGACGGCCACGATGACCTACGATGACTAGTATTTCTTCTCCTGTAGCAAATAGCAGTAGTGAGCACTGCCTTTTGATTTGAAAAAACCAGATCGTAAGAGCTATGAGCTACCATTGAGAATTGTGGGGAACGGCGGCAGAACAACAATTCTTACCTGACAAGCAGCGAAACCACTATGGAAACTCTAGGCTTCCGCGAAAGTTTGTGATGCAGCGTTGCCATGACACTAGGTGAGTGCTGCTGCCGTTGTTGTTGGTCCATTCTCCTAGTGAGCCTGCTTGCCGCCAAGGTGCATGGAGCCCTTTCTGACCTTGAGGTGTGCCGGCATAGCTTCCTCCCTCCCTCCCTCCCTTCCTCCCTCATTTGTTCGCTCTCTTGCTCCCTCGCCCGCTCTGACGCACTCTTGCCCTCTCTCTCCCTCTCTTTGTCTGTCTCTCTCTCTCTCTCTGTCAGCCCGAAGTTCTGGCTACCATGACAAAGTCACATAACGACATCGCGTAACTGCATAATCTTGGATGCCAACTTGTTTGTTGGCCTATTGAAACACTCACTCTGTGTCGTTGTTGTATACTGTATGTTGTGAAAACTGAATGCCAAGGACATCCAACAGTTTAGGGCGTAAGGCGTGTATATGTCGTTGTGCCTATGAAGCAAATGAGTGATGTCGTTGATGACATGGTGACCTCGGAAGCTGATGATGACGACGACGATGATGATTATGATGATGGTGCTGTTGATGGTGACGACGATGCCGGCGATAACGATGAAGGTGGGCGTTCAAACGACCGGTGACAAAAGCAGTCCCATTGCTTGTGTTGCGAAGGTTGTGAGAGGCTACTGGAGCCGGCGCAGATTGGTGTAAGCTGATGTAAAGTTGTAGCTCGGGCAGCTATGACAGCGACATTACGACGAACATTCCTTCGCAGGTTGCGTCTCGTTATGAACATAGTTCTTGCCATGCCTCCGTCAAGCTCCATTGCTCTAGTTCTCCCTCAAACCGAAAACTCGAGAACACATCCGTATGCCTCAACCCGGCAACTTCGCCCACGAAGCGACCCTCCAGCCCTGACATTCCAACCTCAGGGCCAGTGGCAGTCCGGATCACAGGCTACACCCGTTTGCCGCGTCTTTTGCCACATGGCCGGGAAGGAGCCTTCCCAGCTCCTGGAGTTCGGCTACGGCTGCTGCTATTGAGTACGACAACAAGACCAGCAAGAACCAACAAGAGCCCGCAAGAGGAAGACAACAACAACAACAACAACAACAACAACAACAACACCACAACCACCACCAACAACAACAACGATAACGACAGCAACAACAACAACAACAACAACAACAACGACAACGAAAACGACAACGAC